CAGTAAACACAACCATGCACCGCTACAACAATCTCACCAAGGCTGCAGAGCACAACTCAGACCACTGCAGTCCAAGATGGGGGAGCTGGACTTCATCCGCAGGGGAGAGACTCACTGAAGAAGCTAGCACTCATACTGATCAGTGATGTATTTGCAGAGGAAAAACTTACAAAATTGCTCAAAGAGCTGTACATGTATGCCTGCCCACCATAAACTGAATCTATATTTGAGAGAATATAATGTTAGTATAAAATATTGGTATCAGCTGTAGGTCATACCACTTCCTGCTATCTGATCACACGCAGAGATTCGCTTTTACTTGCTGATTTCTCATTTTAAAAAAAGCACGCTACAGTCTTACCTCAAGCCACCAAAGATAAGTCCAATATTTTCAATTTGACAGAGGTGTTTGCCCATGACGATCAAAGTTTCCAAACCAGATTTTCAACATGCAGAGAATCCAGTTTGACAGCTTCCTCATACCGGAGGCTCTACGTGTGCGCCGATGTGATGCAAGAAAATCAAGATCAGCTCACGCTGTCTTTTAAAGATCAGCGTTGCGCGTCCGTGTCAGTGAAGGAGTTTTGTTGGGGGATTAATAACATCACACAGGTGATGTCTCACATCGCCTCACACGCAGAGCAACAGTAAATCCTGCAGCATCACAGCTCAGGCTCCATTAAAAATGCATACGACTTCTGAGTGGAAGACGAAGGCTTTGATGAGAAGTCTGTTTGATGTCTTGAATCGGCTTCCCGCCCACACCTCAAATCGTCAGGACTTGTGTGCTGCTCCCACACACACACACACACACACACACAAAGTTCACCAGCTGAATAATGGAGATGCTGCAGTGATAGCCATATCATTAGCAGCTCACTTAATTCCATAGCAGTGTGCATTTATTTGCTATTCCAGGCAGGCACAGGCGCTTCATGTAAATAGCATGAAGTGGGATATTCAGTCTCCCAGGGATCCTAACCCTTCTGTTACTACCTGTTAGACTTTGTGTTTTGTTAGTCTAATAATTAAGAATTCAATCAAGTATGACTGGAGCACAAATCAACAGGACCCTGGGAAGAAATGACAGCTTCGTGTGTCAACCAAGCAACATTTCAGCACCAAGTGTTCCCCAAGTCGGCACAATTTTTTCCAAAAAACTTCTGTCACACCTCAGGGGGTTGTTTTTCCGCGCATCAATCAAGCAAGAGTGCAACCGCCCCTGCACAGCGGGCAGGACTAAACTGCTGGTGCATAGCCCACTCCATCCATCCATCACTGGTGTCCAATCTGCCCCTTCACTGAGCTTTTCATAGGCATAGGCAGCCTCGTCCAAAAGCGAATGCGATAGATTTTCTGCTCTATTTATAGTGAAATGATGTGATGGAGTAAACTGCAGCGAACTGGACGCAGGCGCGGAGTGCGGTAGCTGCAAACGCAAGTCTCAGGAGCACGTTTGTTTGAACAATAGGCAGGCTGCTGTGAGCAGCTGTGTGCAGCTGTGTGGAGCTGAAAATCTGTGTAACCTGCTGCTCCGGCTGCCTGTCACACCCCTCCCACCCCACGCCTGCACGCACTTACAGCAACAGCTCACGATACAGCAACGAGATACCGAACACATTTTACGATGGCAGCTCACTGACTGATCTCTCTCTCTCTTACACACGCATACAAACGCAAAACGTATCACAAATATGCACGTTTTCCCAAAAGTTAACCGAATAAAATCCCCGCAAAACTCGCGCTTCAGTCACAGCCACCCGCGGAGGCAGCGGCGGCAGCAGTCCGCTATTAACTGCACGAAAACGGCTGGATTACAGCCCAAGTACAGTGTCATATACTTGGCTGAGTCCACGCATGAAAAGGATCAATTACAGGGCATCAAAACTGGCTTGACAGATGAAGGTAGCTGGCTAACAAGCTAGCATGCTAGCTAAATCAAAACAGCGGCGTAAACAAACAGCACACGGGCAGACTGCACAGGTATTTACCGTATGGTTGACACCCCACATTAAAACGCTGAGTATGGGCTCACTGGCGCGGAATAATTTCACTTTCTGTCCTATAAAATGCTTCTTTTTCGTCTTGGTTTTGCTGGCGCTGATAGGCGCTGCGCTGGTGCAGTTGGATGACATGTCTCCGGCTGGGGATTCAGGGTACGCAAGACGGCGGTCCGGGTCGTTCACACAGCGATAAATAAAAGCTAAATCTGAAAGTACAGAGCGTTTTTCCTTTTCGAAGAAATCTATAGGTGCATCGTGCTCGTTGACCAACTCGCAGCGAGTCTCTGGGCAGGATGACTGTCTGTTTGGGAGTCAGCGGTGAAGCATTTTGCGCCGTCACCACCCTTCCTCCTCCCGAGCAGGCCGCGGCGTATCCACACAGCAGCTAGCCGGCCATCGGGTTACAGCGCGGCCTCGCTCTAAAAACAGCCTGCAGCGGAGAACCGTCGCCGAGGCAGATCCTCTTCTCTCCGCTCAACGCCTGCAACCCAACACTGATGCCGTTTTACTTGGAAGTGAGTAATCCCGTCATGATGAGCGTGTTGTCACCAGCCCAGCGCTGAGATCGGGGTCTCCTCAAGATGGCGTCCGTGCTGCACTTCACAGTCAACAGCGGCCCCAGCAGGCCAGCGGGGGAATTGCAGGGATTCCCACAGTGTACCGCTCAGGGTTTGCTGCTCGAGCAGCGGTTCTCCCTTTTTTTTTCTTCTGAAGTGCCCCATTAAAAAAAAAAAAAAAAAAAAAATTCATGCATTAGACTCCAGAATTTTCTTCGTTTTCTTTGATGGCTGTCAAACAACACTGAGGTGTTCTGTAGCCACCTGCTATGCCGCAGTAATGAAAGGAGACTCCAAAACGCAGACCTGCATGCAGCACGAACTTGTGCATTTAAATTTACATCCAGCTTTCACAATATCCATTTAATTTATAGTTTCTATTTCTTTTTCGTCTTCTTTTGGCTGCTTCCTTTCATGGTCACCACAGCAGATCATCTCCCTCCACCTCACCCTGTCATAGAGGGCATGTTATCTCAAGCATCCCCTCTGCATGTCCTCCTTTGCTACATCCATGCACCTTCTCTGAGCTCTTCTTCTCGCCAGGGAGCTCCATCTGTTTTTTTTCTTTTCGGGGGGGCAAGAATGTCCTATGTTAGTAGTAATTCTAATAAACGTGAGCACAAGAGAGAGGGAGACACCCTACAATGAACTGAAACATTAACTTCCTGCTTAAAACAGATTATTATGGATTTTGTACTTATTTTACAGGCCAGGTGTGTTGCCTCACACTTTATCCTGTTTTGTTTGCTTGTTAAGTTAGTATAAGATGTAATGACATATGCTTTTGTATATTGTATATTCTGGTACTTTAGCACAAGAAATATAATTAAGTGGGGCATATTAGGGTTTGTTTAAATGAAATGGACAGAAAAGGATTTTTAAAAATGGAAACACAACAACGATGTAGGCTGCGTTATGAACAAGGCAGGGACAACTTTGTGTCCTATTGTGTTTCAGCTGCTTTGTTTTCATTTCTGTTGCAATGCTTTCTGAAATTGTTTACACCTCAGGGTCATCGTATTACCGGCACACAATCGATCATGCGTCAGTGTGGTGTGACCCCCCACATGAAAGGCTCACCCAGGAAACATAAACGCTGTTCCACCAGAAACATGTTTCTAAGGGAGGGGAGGCGGCCCTCAGATATAAACAGTGGAGTCATTCTGCTTATTTTTGGTCCTAGAGTAACTTTACACAATTTCCAGATCATTGACTGTTGGAGCAACCCTCAGTTCATCTTCTGTTTGAAAAAATATATATATATTTTTTTTTTAGCCCCTCCCCATTTTGGCCAACTTTCTTTTGATTGGCTTCCCCTCATAAGCAAAAGGTTTGAACAGCAGGTGGATGGGACTTAGCTGCGTCTGGTGTTCACATGTATCTGGTTGATGTTCATTTTCACTGCTAACTTTCCTGTGATTGTGTGGACTCTACAAGCCATTACACTAAAATACAGCATATGCATGTAGCCTTCAGACTGACTCTAAAGAGAAATTTAAAAAGTAAAACAGGAAGCTCTGCATTTCTACAGCTGTATAATCCTGTACTTAGAGAGATCTGGTCTCAGTGACATCACACAGAGCCACACTGACTAGGATAGAATAGAATAATCCTTTAATTGCCACAAAGGGGGGAATTTGGAAATTTGACCACATGATTTGAAACTTGCTTTATGTTTCTTTCTACATTAAGAGTAAATACAGGACAGAAAATAGAGAAAACTACGACATATCACATGCAACGCTGTTGAAAATTCACCCTGGAGACTGTGAGTGTTAAAAATTATCAACTTGAAACATTTTGTAACCGGGCAACACAAAACAGCCCAACGTTTATTAACCTGAGACTTCAGTAGGTTGCAAAGATCTCCGAGTTCCTTAAAATTAGAATATTAAGTCAGGCTGGTGCAGTTTAAAATGATTGGTACATGTCCACGAACGTATCAAGACTCAATATGTTCGTACTTTCCATCAAAGAAATGTAATTCCCTAAAATATCTTTCAGAACTCTCCATAAGCCGGCCTCGTCAGAGTTTGCAGCCGGAAATGTGTAGATGCTCTGGCCTGAGCGTGTCTGCACCGGGCGGGAGGACACTGGAGAACAGAGGGCAGCTTCAGTAAAAACACGACTGAAGCAGGAGACTGCTGAGGGGAAGTGCTGGTAAATGTTGAATTCTCTCTCTGCTGCCATAGTTGGTTTTGTTTTGTTTTCTTTACACAAATGACGTGTCCATCTTCCATTGATGACGTATTAGGGGAAATTAATTGGTGCTCAAAATTTCCGTTTTATTTGTAGTACTCATGATCAGTTTGTCCCTGTAGGCTGCTGTTACATTTCTACCTTACGTGATCCACACATGGCTATTTAATTATTCTCAGCGGAGACGGGGGCGGGAGCTGGGGGAGGGTGGGGGGGTTCATGCCCTGACAACCTGCTTCCCAGAGGACACGATGGCCTTTTAAAGCGTCTAAAGAACAGATGGTAGCCACTGAGGTGCATTATGGGGGTTGTAGTTTTTGAAACTTGGTCGAAATCACAGCGTATTATTTCTTTATCCTGTTTTTTCAGCTTTGGTTGATTCGCAGGTGTAGATTTTGGGCGGTGGGGGTGTTGTGTCAGTATTTAGACGCATGAAGCACATGAATCTACAGCTTCTGTCCCCTGTGAACGACGCAGAGGAATTACCGAAGAGACAAAGACTTTTTTTCATGCGTGGATAAAGACGCTTTCATTTCAATGCGGAAAATATGCAATAATTAATAAAATCAAGTGTCTGGCAATCCCAGTTTCCTGGGAGATGGAGCTACACCTATGGGTGCAAAGGTGCATTTCACTATAAAAAGCAAAAAGGGTGAAGCAGGATGAACAGATCCTGCGGAGCTGCTGTGGAGTCACTTTATTCAACACAAAATAAAAACGATGCTCTCCTTTGATTCACTCAGAAACATTCAGGAGGTTCAAACCCAACATCAAAGAACTCTGATTTTTTTTTTCCTTTCAATTTTTACACTTTGTGCTTCAAGGTAAACGTGGGATCAGTGAATTTTCCTCCTCCTTTGTGATGTTGTGAATGAGACCGTACTTTCTTAAAGTCAGAAGTAACTTTTCTCATAACCTTTTCCCCCCCAGAGTTTATTTCATGTCTTTAAACACGTGCTGTTATCTCAGCTCTACCTGGGGGATATTTCTAATTTCAGAAATTAGTTAGAAATTACTGCATGTCAACTAATCTGCCCTGAAATCTGTTAAGATAAGTTAAACCTTTACTAGTCCCACACGTGGGAGATTTGTTATTTTATGTTGTTAAATTTGTTGAAATCTTTTGTTTTTCAGGTGGAAATCTTTGTCCTCTTTGTAAAACAATTATTAATTGTGTCTAAAAATGACATTTGTTCAGTATATTTACTTGTTTCTTATAAAATAATTAAAATGAAAACGGAAAAAAAAAAACCCTCTCAGTTCTAATAACGTCTCCCGGAGCTGGTGGGCCATCCGTGGGTCTCGGGCCCGGGGACACGAGGCCTGTAGGGCCTCTCTCCCTCGGTCATCCACAGAAGCTCAGTCAGAGCAGCGGAGGGCGGGGCCGGGCGGGCCGAGCAGCCGCGGACTGACACAAATTAATCACAAGGTGGGAAATCAGAAGAAGAAGTGCGGCGCTCGGCGTGTGCGGGACAAACACCGTGGACAAAGTGCGCGGGGCCTGCGGACTCTGAGTCTGGACACCCTCTTCGCCCCGTGAACGAGGCGACAAAATAAAGTCACGTGATCCAAAATGGGCAGTCCTCTGACGGTGCTGAAAAAAGCCATTTTCTGGCGCTGCTGCAAATTCTGTCCAAGTCCCAAATAACTGAGCCGCCCTGCGCCGCGAGGACGCGGACCCTCGGAGGAGAGACCAGGTAGGACCGCTCGTCGCGGATCGCTTTTGTTTATCGCGCTCATCGCGGCTCAGTTTGCGGAGGCGCAACGCGAGGCGCACGGTGTCACATTCGAGTCTCCCTTGTTCGCCTCCTGGTACAGCAGCCCTGTCAGTGGATTTAAGATGGCTGCTTTGTGTACCAGTGTGCTTTTCTGCGGCTCGGTGCCCCCCTCCGAGCCGCCGCTTTCGCCCCCGGTGCTGGGTTGAGGTGCGGGCTCGGACGGCGGAGCTCCGCGGGGAGGGGAAACGCTCTTTGTTGGGCTGGAGGAGATGAGCTGGTGCACGAGATGAGGCCACACAGGGGCGATCGAACAGCCCGCTGCCTGCCGTGTGCCCCTCGCAGTCTGCGCTGAGCTGCTCGGCTCCTGCTCCCGGCTCGTCCCTGAACCCAGCACCGGGATTTGGGGGGCTTTCGTCGGGCTCCGTTTGTTGTGGTTTCGCGAGCCGCTGACGCGGTGCAGACAATGTGTGAGGGGATCCGGGCACAATGTGGGGGATGACCCGCAGTCTCCAGCAGTAAGCGCTCATAAAACCCCCTCACGTTCTCTGCTTCTCCTGCAGATCAGCCCAGATGGATAAAATGCAGCCTAACCGGATCAAAATCACAGATCTGAACCCACACCTCACATGCCCTCTGTGCGCCGGCTACCTGATTGATGCTACGACCATCGTAGAGTGCCTGCACTCCTGTAAGTCCCTCACATGAATGCACCACCTTACATGCATGCACACCGTGTCCATCAGACCTCTGCTCGCGATGATGTTGAAGGGAGGTGAACAGGCTGATGTTGAGTCACACACTCCACCTCAATTAGGCCTGTAGGAGGTCCACTTCAGGGACCACACTTGCACAGCAGCACATGACTGCATCTTCTGGGTTGTGTTGAAACTGCTCGTGCTGGATGTTCATGTTAAACGTGGGCAAAGTTTCAACTGACGGTCAAGGAATCCCCGTGAGCCAAAACACCAGGCTTCACACTGACAGACCTTTCTAATCTTGGATCTGTGTGATGTCACAGAGGGGATATCCCTAATATGGGCGTCAGGAACCAGAGCTAATCTACGGAGAGCCACCAACTCCTTATTAATGCTGCTGTTCTGAAAATTGCTGCAGGTAG